CTGTCACCACTTATATTTTATTGAGAACAGTGGGCATGTGGGGAGGAGGGGGTGCTGGCTGCTGTGAAGGATTAAGAACCCAATAGGCCAGACAGGCAGATTCCACCTGGCTCATGATGCAGGAAAGGGCCTGTGGGGCGGCACCTGCCCTCCCTGGGATCCCTCAGCAGGGGCATGTGGCAGGCCCCTCAGGAAAGGTAGGCAGAAAGGAATTGCAGGTGATAGGTTATAATTTCCACAGCTTCCAACCCAAGAGTAAGGGGTAGTGCTAATCTGGGGAGGAGAGGGAGACAGGGCTAATGTGAGTATCTAGCCTAGCTCTCCTAGGTTTCTGAAAGACTTCAGTGTTCCTAAATGATCCTAAAGATGGAGATTGAGACTAGGAGAGCCCCTCACTGACCCATGCTCTAGAAGATTCTAGGACATCCTAAATTAAGGAGCACAGGCCTTTCATCCCCCAGAGCTCAGCCATGCTGCTAGAGTCCTCAGTGGGAGGAGGGTGATGTCCCTCCCAAGGGAGGCAGAGACCTCTTCCACACCCTGTGAGGCCAGCCACTGTGCCAGGGCCTGAGAGGCAAGGCCTAAGGACAGATTCTGGGGTCTGGGGAGATTCTCTACTCCCCGGATGTCTAAATGGTGGGTGTGGGGAGGTGAGCAGAGGGAGGTAATGCCCCCGGTTCGGTGTACCCCACAGAAATCTTTAGGGAAGGTGCCCAGTTCCTCCCTCTTGCCTCTCCCAGCTGTGCTAGTGGGGAAGAGGGTAAGGGTGTCTAACCCCCTCTCTTCTTCAATGGAGTCAGGCTGTTCGCAGGTTGCCACTTTGTGACCCAACCACCACCCCCCCAACAGTGAGTTGAGAAGGGTGAAGCCTTAGGTGGATGAGTAAGTGGGGCCATGGGGCCAAGGGGAAGAAACACTGTTAGGCCCTGACCATGGTTCCAGCCACTTACACCCATACCTCAGGGGGAGGCCAGTTCTGAGAGGCTCAGTGACAGCACAGAGCCTGAGCCGCTTAGCAGCAGTGTCCTGGGCATGAGGTCCGGCAGGAGGTGGAGGGCCTAGGGTCCAGCCTGTCTTACCCTCTGGAAGAAACAGAGCTGGCATGGGGGGAAAGCAGGCAACAGGAGTGGGAGTTCCTTCCAAGCCTCTGCTCTGGGGGAAAGCCCCCTCTTCTGGCAGGGTCTGGGGTAGGACCACTTCCAGGCAGGATGACATCATACATCAGTCATCTCATCCCCCAGCTCAGCATCTTCCGGCTCTCCTTCCTCGTCCTCTTCATCGTCGTCCTCCTCAGAGGTCATGTTGGGTTCATCAGCCTCTGCCAGACATTTGGGGCAGGAACAGACAAACAGATAGTTCTCCCTGCAGAGGGTTGGGGAGGATGATGGTGAGGGTACAAAGTCAGGCAGCCACCAGCACGGAGAAGCCCAGAGCCCGGCTTCCCACCACACCCCCAGCTGGCACCTGAGGATCCTGTGGCGGCTATGGCGGCTGCGCTCCCGCTGACAGCAGTCTAAGTAGCTGATGCAGATTTCCTAACGGGGAGAAGAGAGGTGGGCTCTGACAGTCTGTGCTTCTAACAGATGGGATTAGGGCCTCCCCAACCTCTGCCCTATGTCCAACCATTGCCCCATCCCCAGGAGCCGGAGCTGCCCTTCAGCGAAGGCGCAGGTCACCCTGATCCATTCCCCTGTGCTCACGGCAGAGGCCACTATGAGGCTTTCACAATCTGTCTGACACAGGGGGCTATGCTTGGCCTTGGGCCATGGCCAAGGTCTGTGGCTGGGGCAGAGGTTATCTTGGTGTGAAGCTACTTGCCCTGAAAGAAGTTTCAGCCAGGCTCCGTGCACAGCTCTAAGAGCCAGGACACCACACCCACACTAGTACCCCACAGTCCAAGCCACAAAGGGCCATGTCCTGCTTCCTTAGATGCTGCAGATTCCTTGATCAAAAGAGCTGGGGACAAGAACTTAGGCACACAGCTGTCTCTGAAACACTGCTCTGAGGCTTTCTGGAGTTATTTTTTGAAGTGGGGTGGGGTTAGAGTATACTCATGGGGAAGACTCATGTGCTGGAGCATGTGGGGATTCATCCCAACAGCCTGAACTTGGGACTGTAGCCACTGCTGCTCCCAATTCCTGGAGAGAACTTGCAAGGCCCACTGCCCACCCACCCGGACAGCTACTGGCCCACTCACCTCTCCTGGCTTAATATCCTCCAGGGCGGTGACATGCAAAAGGAAGTTGTTTTCTGGGAAGGAGGTCTCTGCATTGGGGACACAGCTGTGGTTGCCTGGGTCATGAGAGGCAGGTAATGAGGATTGTTGACTAATAAAAATAACAGCCCTAACTGTGCAGAGCACTGGGTCCCATCTTTCCTTGTTCTCTGATCTCTGCTAGGGCTAGGCAGGTCCTGGGACCCCAGTTTCCTATATCCCTGTCCAGTGCTCTTTCCTGAAGAGCACAGGCACTAAATGCAGTCCTGTATCACTCCCCTCCCCTCCTGCCATGACTGCCCCTTCTCTCCTCACTGGTCAACTTGATCCTCAGATGTGTTCCCAGCGTCTCATAAAGGGAGGGACAGGGCTGTGAAAGGGATGCCCGTGCCAGGCCACTTAACTCAGTCCTGTCTGTTATTGGATGTCTGGTAACAGCTGAGCCAGGCCCTCTGAGAGCCTAGTTTGGGAGGAGTAGTGTCCCCAGAGCCTGGGAGGAAGGTTTTGCAGTGAGGAGAGCAGAGGGTGGGAGGCTGGGACCTGGAAAAGACAACAGTCTGAGCTGGCTCTGCCCCCTCCATCAGGTGCTGATGAGACTGCCTTCCAGCCTGAGCTCCTCCCGGGCTATCACAACACTCTCCTACCAAAGCTCACAGGGCAGTGGTGGGGCAAAACCCAGGCTTCCCTTTGCAAGAATCAGAGCTCTGTGCCCTGCCTTAGCACTGGGCCTAGCCCACTGGAAGGTTTTATATCAAGGCATAAGAGTCCAATAAATGAATGAAAAAATAATAGAAGGAGAAGGCTGAGGGGAAATCCCCAGGAAGCTCAGCCCTAACCCCACTCCTAGACTCAACTCTACCAGCCCAGAAGGGGCCAAGAGAGATGAACTGCAGCTGTGAGGCTACCCCTTCTCAATGCCGGGACTCACAGCAGCTCTGCAGCACAAAGAGGCCAGATCCTTCACAGTTAAGAAACTCACCAGTTGCTGTAAGACAGTAATATGCAGATGTTATTGCATCCACTTTATAGGTGGGAAAAGGAAACTAGGCTTATAAGGACAGGCACTGGCTCCACTGTCTTGCCACCCAATCACTACTATTTTACCTGAAATTGCTTCTCTGAGGCGCAAGCCTTGCTTTCCTATAAATGGTACCACCTTACTGTCCAGCCCTTCCCCACCCCCAGCATCAAGCCTCCGCACGGATCGCGGAGCCATTTCTTGTGTATGTCCTGCAGACAGATCTGAAGCTTCCCATAGGCACACAGGGATTACCTTCCCCAACCACGAACTCAGAGCTCCCTGGGGGAAGACTGCGTCCACTGTCTGACTGACGGATTTCTCCAAAGTTGGGTGAGGCCAAGGCTCCATCTCACCAACCTGTCTCGATGTCCTTGTACAGCTGGTCAATGAAGGCGTCCAGCTGCTCACGGTCCTGAGGCTTCAGCTCCAGAGCGTCACAGGCATGCACCCACTGGCTCAGGGAGCTGGGGGTCCCAGGCAGCCATGGTTGGAGAGGAGGAGGCCTAGCTCACAGGGCTTCCCCACTCCAAGCAAGTTAAGTCCATTTCTTTCTCCAGGGGGAGGGTGGGGGTGGGCGAGTGTGTCCTTCCCCAACAGACCAAGTGCTCCCAAGACTCAGTCTTTCTGACCCCCACCACTGAGTTCAGTCCAGCATTCTGGCCAGAGTCACACCCTGCCCCACCCTAGTCTTGAAAAGAGATGTGGCTACCTTCCTCAGTCAATCTCCCACCCCAGCCCTGAGGGACAAGTCCAACAGCTCTGGAACATTCTCTCCTAACCTGGTCCCAATTCCTTGGCCATTGGTCCCAACAAGAGCAAAGAGAGACCGGAATCCATCCGGAGTGAACCACTGTGGGGGAAAAGGGAGAAGAGCATTCAGGTTACAGCCACTAGCTTTTCTTCCTGTTGAGGAAGTTTGCTGTGAGTCAGTCCCATCCCAGCTCCAGAAGGCCAGGTCTGCTCTGGCTTAGCTGTCCCAGTAGGAGATGCTGACCTGGTTGCTCCTGGAGTGCTGGAGTGACTGGGAGGCCATTGGTCCCACCTTGTCCACACTCACCTGGCTGAGTGCTTCCTCATAAAGGGCCTCTGTGAAGAGTCTCCGCAGTAGCTCCAGCTGGCCCTGGTTTAGGGGAAGCAGGGAGAGACTTGCATCCCTGGGGAGTTCCCATTAGCACCCAGGCAGGGCCCATAACACCACATAAGGGAAGGAAAAGGGCGAGCTCTGCAGACCGAGCTTTCCCTGGGGACAAAGGAAAGCCACAGAATCCTTATCTCCAAGAGACTTGGCAGTCTACTGGCCTGTTCCAACCCAGGGTAGCAAACCCCAAATTGCTCTCTATTTTCTAGCCCTTGTACCAGCAGGGCGGAGGCAGCCTGGCTTAGAATGTCTGTCCTCACCACCACCCTCCAGGCTCCCTGCCCCAGCCTCCAGACCAGCTTGACCCTCCCCCTCCTTTCCCCAGATTCAGTGCAGGAAGGCCCACCCCAGCGCCCTTTCATACACCTACCTCCACCTTCAGGCAGCTCCTGCATGGAAGTCTGCTTTTTTCAGGGAGAATGCATAGTTCTTTGATTTGAAGCAAGTGCTCAGTACACTGGCAACTAAAATTGTTTCACACCGCTCCCTGACCCTGTGGAACCCCCAGCCCTCCACTTTCCATTACACTTGATTCGCCCACTGCTATCCTATCATGGGGTCCTGCCTTCCCACATCAGGGCACCCAGCCCTTCTGTCCTCTGTCATCACCCCACTTCCCAATTTTAAGTCCACATTAGGTCATGAAGTTAAATAGCGGCAGGAATACAAGTCTCTGAACAGATTTTTGGACCCAGGCTCTAACTTCTTCCTGTGGCTGGGAAGGCAGCAAATGTGGAGCTTCCCTTAGGTAGCCATGGACATCCCCAGGCTACTGGGGGGGGGGGGAGGGTCATGTGGAGAGACCAACCTTGAATTTGTCCCCCAGGAGTTTGTGGACAATTTCCTCCTCCTCATTGGCGGTTTTATTACAGAACTGGGAGAAGAGCCTGATCCAACGATCCTTATCCTTAGCCTGCAGTGAACAAATATACTTCAGGGTCAGGTTCACACATGCTCACGCATGCATGTGCACACATGGACTCACGGACACCCTCCTCTTTACTGCCACTCCTGCCCACGTGAGAGGAGTAAGCTGTCATTCTAAAACCCCTGCCCTGAGAAACACCATCACACATGAGCTTCTAAGTAGACCCTTCCTGCCCACCCTGCCCACACCCAACCATCTTCCCAGCTGGTGCCAAGCTAGCCAGTTCACGACACTTGGGAAAATAGGAGGATGAGGCTGACGAGCAACAACACTAAAGGGGTCAGAGTGGCTTCTCTCGCTTTATCTAAGAGACACAATCCTGAAAAGGTGGTGCTTATATATGAATTGATGCTGCACAGGAAGTCATCCATAGATCACAGACCACAGGCAAGATGAGCCCCCACGTCCCCTGCTAGATTTATGGTTAGCTACTCCTAAGGTTTACACAGCAAGCAGCTCTCCTTTGGGAAGCCCAGAAGCAACTCTGTATCCAAGCCAGAGTGTTAAGGTGAGAAGAAAACCGAGGCCAAGGGTTGAATGAGGCCGGAGTCAGCTTCCCTAAGATCAGGTGGGCTCACCTGTTTCACTGTGGCCACCATCCGGGCCATCAACATGATGCTTGCAGTCTCAGGGGGGTAGTGAACACTCCTGGGGAGAAAGAAAAAGGTTTGGCCTAGAACTTCCCTCCCCAGTAGCTGAATTAAGGGAAGCCCAGTCTGATTACTACAGAGAATCTTTCCTACCAATCTCATTTATAACCAAAGAGAGAAAGTCATTGGCAAAGACTTGGGCAGGATTTTATATCCCTATGGGCTTTATGGGGCTCTTCCTGGGAGTGTGTAAAATGCTGAGAATGGTAGGACTGGCGGCTCAGATTTAAGGCAGGGGGAATGGGTGATAGTTTAGCCCTAAGAATGGAGGAAAAATCTAGGGGGTGGTAACTTAACAAAGATGGCTGCATCCACTAAGTGTGGGGAAGGCAGGCAGGGAGGGATGGATAAAGGAAAGAAGAGAGGAAATGCTACCTACCTCCATGCCTCCTGCAGCTTATTGAGAGGATGCAGGGGGTCATCCTGGGAGGGGCCTGGGCACAGGACCTGATGGTATTGCTCAGCTGCGGCTAGCAGACATTCTGTACTGCAGTACGTCACCTGTTGGGGGAGGTGGAGGTCAGCACCCTGGGATCTGGCAGTGGGGTGAGGCACAGACACCCATGTGGTCTCACCTCCTCTAACTGTACTCCTTCCACAAATAGCCCCTAAGCAGTAGTCAGTGGTATTATGAGATGAAAAAGCATACAGTGCTCTGGAGACATGTGAGAGGGGCACCTGACCCAGGCTTGTAAAAACGTGGAAAGGAGACTGCTTCTCCGGTACAGGGAAAGGCCCCTGCCAGGCTCCTAGGAAGAGGGCAAGCTCCCACCAAGCCTATTTTCTAGACAATGGGACTGGAACAGAGAGGACGAAACTGGCACAGTAATGTCTTTTTCATGTCTTT